TAATTAAAACCTGAATTTTGCAATATGAAACTTGAATCGGGATTTATAAAAATGGTAATTTAAAAGTAGGGCTGTGTGTAATTTCATCACATGCTAATCTAAACGGCCCAACTTCACCTACCTAGCCTAATCCAAAAACACTAAAACATCAGGTAAGGTATGGACCGTCTAGTGATAAACCCTGAGTCGCCTCTTCTCACGACAATTCCGTCTCTCTCGCCTATTTGCCTGAGTCGCCCCTGCCTCTGTACTTCCCCTGCCAGCTGCCGTGACTCCCTATCTTCCGTCTCTCCACTGCCTGACCGCCTCTGTTCTCTAGTTCTCCTCCACTCCAGGCTCTATTGACTGTTGTCCTCAACAGTCAACTCGGCGTGTTGCCATCGTGCCGGATAATTCAGCTTCGCGGGCGACTTCTGTAAATTTATCATGCGTGAGCGTTAGCTCCAATCATGCTTTAGCATCTTGCTGCTCAAGCAATGGATTGAGCGAGGTGGATAAAGTCATAAAGAGAGTTTCAAATTCTTAGATCTAGAGGTATTTTGAAAGAATTTATAGCCCGTTTGGTAAAGATTAAAATCGGATTAAAATTGAAAAACTAGCCGTTATTGTTGACTTTTATTAGACGAGTGGGGTCCAATAATGACTTTATTTTCAATTTTAATTGGATTTTAATCGGTACCAAACGGGCTCTTAATTCGATCTTAAAGCGCTTCTATTCCACGAAAATTACAGAAAATGGATTGTTTTTTTTTTTTTTTTTTTTTTTTGTTTCTTTTGTTTTTTTTTTTTTTTNCAGAAAATAGTTTGATTTTTTGTCTTAGCTGCTTTGATTGTAATGTTTTGAGGTTTGAAGTTTGAATTTGTTTTCTAATATAGGACGAGAATGAAGTGAGTGCAGAGAAGGTTGCAACATCAACTGGTGATTCGGTGGAAATCGCATTGAGAGGTAAATATTAAATTTTCGATATAATTGTAATTCTTCTCTTTACGCCTCTTCAATTCGGTGGATTGCTTGAGAAATTTGGGTATTGACGAATTGTTGAACTTGAATTGAAATTGTTGTGTACAGTGTACTCTGTAGTCGGATTGTTGAACTTGAATTGAAATTCTTTAGGTATTGCTGAATTAAAATTGTTGAAATTTGGGTATTGTTGAAAATTGAAATCTTATGAAGAGATTCTTTCAAAGAAAAACTGACTTGGACAACGTAAATGTTGATGGGGGATGTCGAATAATATGGAATTTGAAGTCACTAAACTTCTCTGTATTTCGTGACGATTCTGAATTGTACTTATGGGCGAAAATCCGGCAATTGAGCTGAAAGTTATGACCGTTTTCATCCACGCCACTCGCTTTCTTTCTAAATATCTTCCAAACCTTGAATTCAACTCGTTTTGGCTCCCGAACACTTCATGAAACTTGAACATTGGCTTGTCAACTTCTTTAATTTGGACTCCAAGACTCAACCAAGTGATTGCCATCTCGGATCATATCACGTAATATTGTTTTATATTTTTATTATCATTACATCCATGACAAAAAGTCGACGTTCAACATCGATAAATTGTGCCCACCCTAAATTACTTTCCTGGCTCCGCCCCTGAATGGGATGGCTTGGTTTTTATTTGGAAGCATCAAAGTTTTTTTTTTCGCCCATGCTTGGGCCCTCAGTAAATTTTAATTTATTTTTCTTTCTTCTCTTATCAACCACATATTTTCTCAATAAAATAATATTACACATAAACCCGAAAATTCTCCTTATTTTTTAACCACACATTCTCCAAAAAATATTATTCCAAAATTAATTTTTTTTTTCGAATAATGAAGCTCAAACAAGGGCTTCTTTCAAGTCACTGTCGTTTTTTTTTTACGTTAGGTAATAGTCAATTTTATCTATTTCTAATGCCTTTTCAAGCCCACTTCATTATCTTTGATAGTGCATGTTAGGGTGGCAACGAGCCGAGTCGAGCCACGAGCCAAAATTTGAAGCTCGGGCTCAGCTCAAGCAAAATG